GAAATATTAAATCTATCCATTGAATGCAGTATCTTTCATTGTGGAAATTGTGGAAGTTTTTCCACAATGAAAGTTGCATTCTTTTAATAATTCAAAAGAAAGATTAACTGTTTAAGAAAGTTTAACTGTTTAAGAGACTTCAAGATCCACTTATACCCCACATTTTCTAGTAGAATATGGAGAATTTCTAAAGAAAATAAAAGTAGCTTAAAGTGTGTAAAGCTGTAAATTCTAAACGGTTTGTCTTATGTAAGTCTAGATATAGCTTGAATTTTCATTTATAGAGGAAAGTTATTATTTATTTATTTATTGATAGTCAGAATAACGTTTTTATGGTTACTGAGAACACTTAATTTTAAGTTATTTAGATTAATGTGATACCATTGGTATATTTAAAAAATAAAAATCAGGTGCACTCGATATATCAATTCTAGCTATCAAAATCGGACTAAAATTGACTGGTTCTTGCTTTTAATAACCAAAATCGATTTAAATTTAAACAAAACAAGCCCATTCCTACCCATGTGCTTCAATATTACCCAATTTTTCTTCGAAGGGTATTTAGTGAAATCGGTTTTGGTTTATGCTCAAGCATGGCCGAGTTTCCTCGATATTCAATTCATTCAAGTGATCTTTGGTTGGTTAATTTGTCTAACGATTCCCTTACATAAAATCAAATCAGACTATTGTCCGAGTAGATACTTTCTAGTTGATCCAATTTTAAAAACTATAAACATGTTACAAAAAAATATTATTTGAAAGAAATTCTATTTTACCCATATTAAGATAATTCCTAGTTGATGTTGTTGGTTAACTCAACCCCTAATCGTCAAATTTTCCGAGACACCTCACTCACCCAACTCTTTCAACTCGCTCAACATGACCCTTTAGAAATGTTAATGCAAATTTGGTCAGCCTAAATGTTTTCTTCTCTCTTAATTCTTATTTTGTCTTCAATTTTGACCTCAAAAAATTGTCAAGCAATTCCATGTTAACAACACTTGTGATTAATGTTGAAATCTAACCTTGCTAGATGTGCATGACTCCATCTTCCAAAAAATTTTGCTCAAAGATCATGTTACTCGAGTCACGTGACCCGAGGGAAGAGCTTAGAAGCAGGCTATTGCAAAAATCCAAGAGATATCTTCCATTCAGGTTCAGTTTAATCACCAAACGAGCACCAATGAAACCAAGCTCGACTCACAACAAAACTACTCTGGTTGCCACAAGTTCTACATCCCAAAAAGGAGACACTATGGTGGTGGTTATTTGCAAGCCACAAAAAGGCAAAAAATAAAAATAAAAAAGGGGTGAAAATGCCTACAATATGGATTGCAGCCACTGGTTTTTCACTCACAGAGAAGCCAACCTTTTCTTTTGTTCCACAAATCATACACACACACACAAGCTCACGACTAGAAGAGGGGGATATAAAGCCTCAACTTAGGTCATCACCAATATGGCCGAACACATAGTAATTGAGCCAATATAAAAGACCTCATAGGGTACTTAAAACCAAGGGAACAATACATAGTTCCTATTTTTAAAGTTCACATTTCATAAATAACAAACTTCTTAAAATATTTCAAAAATCAGGTGCTAAATAAATTTATTAAATATTAAATTATAA